AAAATACAAATCTTAGGTGTTTGTTGAATAGTTAAGTCGACAGCTAAATATACACTTGCAGTCAATGAATATGAATAAAAAGGTTGGCATTAAACTTTCTACCTATTATATTGAACTCGAATACGCTACCGTAGTATTTTCACTGTTTTATACCTTATATCGTCAAACGCTACTTCATCTTTTTTGCGTATAGACACTACTCGACCCCAAAGGAAGGATGATGTGAACGGAAAAAATTACAATTTTGTTTCTCAAGAGGAAATGATGCGCGATATTGCCAATAATGAATACTTGGAATATGGCACACATGAACAAGCTATGTACGGTACCAAGCTGGATACCATCCGGCAAATCCACGCCGCTGGTCTTATCGCTATTCTTGATGTGGAGCCACAAGCACTTAAATTGCTAAGGACGGCTGAATTTGCGCCATGGGTGGTCTTTATTGCTTCACCGGACCTGAACACCTTAATGAGAGATATTAACTGCCCCAATGTAAGTGTGCTTTTTCACTTTTACTTTAAAAATTTCGGACAAAATGCTATTCTATTTATAAAGATATCTACTCGCCGAAACATATTTTGATTGTCATTCGTCAGACTGCCATTTGCCAAGCGGGCTTGCTTGTTTCGTTTCTAATTAAATTTACTGCACCCGAACATGTGATATAAGCATTTTTGCTTCTTCCAACAGAAATTGTTTTTAACAGTTTTTCGCAAAGGTTGTCTGACTTCAATCCCCAAAGAGCAAAATGCTTATCTAACCGGTTATGGTTCTGAGGAGAAGTAAGGATTTTCTGCTAAGAGCATTAGGAAGATCAACGAATGCCATTGTAGTTACTTCTTTCAATATGAATTTAGGGTTGTGGGTGTTAAGTGGCGAAAATTCTTAGAGATTTTAGCTTCCAACCGAAAACTTGGCTGCTTGTCGAAATCTTCTGACGTATTAAGCTGTTCCTATGCACCAATACGGATCCTATATTAATGCTGTGCAATACCGGCGGTGTGACGGGGCAATTTATATGCAATTGCCGATGAGCAGGCCACAGTTTTGTACGAGAAAGGCACCGTTGGAAGTATCTAATTTATAGTTGTACTTGCTCT